TGGCAGGCCGAAACCAAAAATGTTTTTTTGTAAAAATTTTCAATATTTTATTTTTATTTATAAACTTTTTATATTTATTAATTCATTTTTTATTAAATATTTTTATTTTTTTACATTACTTTTAGGGGCTGCAGGGAACTATTAGGAGTCTAAACAGACCCCTGATATTTCCCTTTTAAAATAGAAAAAGAGATTGAGAACACAAAGTCCTCAATCTCTTTTTCTGTATCCCCTGTTATCAATGAACAGGAGTCCTCTATACTGCGTGTTCCTGTTCATTAATAACATGAGAACATAGTGTGTTTACTATAACCACAATTATGAATGAACAGGTGATGTAGTTCACTTCCCATTCATTCATAATTGAGGATATAGTAACCATACCATGTCCTCAATCATGTCACTAATCGCTGAGTGTTTGCTGTCGCTCTCCTCTCTGACACGCTGTCACAGGAGGCTGAGCGATCAGTGCGGGAGGAGAACCCAGCCTCCTGTGACAGCGCGGCCTGTCTCCGCCCACACACCGCTCTGCCGAACTGTGATAGGCGACTGAGCGGTGTGGTAGGAGAGACACCGGCCACTCACAGCGCTCTTCTCCTGCAGCGCTCGGCCGACTCTCACTTTTTCTCCTCCCCGCTGGGACATAGAGCAGCGGGGAGGAATAGAAAGCAGGTATGCGCCGATGTAGCGGCAGGAAAATTGCACTTTCGGCATTTAGCCAAAAGTGCCATTTTCAGCCGATATGTTTCGGCAGCCGTTATATCGTTGCATCCCCAGCCCCCACCTTAAGGTTACATAGAAAGGGAAACTAGGTAGGCTTTTTAAAAAGGGACTAAAACACAAGTAAAAATTACAACCATTTTTCCATATTTTTTTTTAAGTTACGCTGTGTGAACGGGAAGATGTAACAAATATCACCTCAACCTAACCACTAAACCATCACATTCTCAAACAACTCATCCCCACACAGCTAACTCCTCATGTATCACTTGCCCCTCCCTTTTAGATTGTAAGCCCTCTTTACCATCTTGTCTTGAATTGTATTGTGATTGTAATGTCTTCCTTATATTGTAAAGCGCTGCGCAAAGTGTTGGCGCAATATAAATCCTGTATAATAATAATAAATATGAAGTTGGTGTTATCCCAATTTGGTTGTAAAAGGAAAAATACACTTTTTCCCTCAGTTTGTTTCGATGCCCCTGGAACACATTTAGCTGATTTGAACTTTAAAGGAGAACTATGGGGTCACTGTTTTTCCCCATAGTTCTCCTTAGGGTAACGGGAGGACACAAACTGCGTGAGTGACAGCTGGCTCTGCATATCTAGAGGCAGAGCCAGCTGTACCCGCCCCCTCCCCCATCCGTTCCGCCAGTCAGTGCTGACAGATCGGAGCGGGGAGAGGGGAATCCAGCCCCTCCCCCTGTCACGGCAGAGAGCCGTGACAGGATCGAGAGGTGAGCGAACCCGGTATGTGTTCGCTCACCTCCCGATCTACGGAGCCGACCTGTGACAGTCTCATTGTCACAGGTCGGCTAGAACTATGAGGTGAGTGAAAAGCACTCACCTCATAGTTCTCCTTTAACCATTAGCCCCCGAAAAGGCCTTTGAAGCCAAGCCACCATATATATGCGTCTACTGTTTTGTGCTGGAAGCGCGCTCACAGTTCCAGGTCACCATTTACGATCGTGAACCAAGGACGGGCCCCTGATCATATGATCAATAAGGCTTGCTGTTACAGCGATCACATGATTGGGAATCCATCCCTGCCTAACAATGTAATATTTATAAAGGGCCAGCAGCAAGCGGTTAATAAAAATACTTTGAAACACAAGGGGCAATTGTTTTTTATACACAGTGCATTAGCAAAATAAACATCACTGAGTTAATTGGCTGCTGATAGTAAAGGTCGTTTTCCCATCTTAAGTGCCCTCTGCCTAAGTGTACAGGCCTGAAACAATTCAGGACAGGATAACACTTGAATAGTGTGTGCTATAGATAGTCTAGATGCTGGGACTTCTAGTTCGGTACTCCATCCTCCCCCCCACTTAGAGAATCCTGACAACTTAGATGAGAGCACCTGTCACAGAGAGAGCTCTATGCAGTCCCTCGCTTTTACTCACCTCCTGGGTGTAGTCAGTGGTGTGTAGCTGAGATGCAGGAAAAAAGCCACACTACCTGGGCTCTTAACAACAACTTCCCCGCAGATGTTTTTCCTCTTTCTTCCGGGTTACTTCCCAGCTGCATGACGTAGTCACCCAGGGACTTTTTCTGGGCGGTGAGTAGGCTGGAGAACTCCGGAAAAGGGGCAGGCTTCGGCCCAC